ATACTCAAATGTTGTCTATTAGTGGCTGTCATCTACTTGGAATTCCTTGCCAAAGGGTGAGTGGTAGCCTGGGTTGTCCATCCTGCTTGGCCAGCAGCTGAAGAAGAGACATTCACCTCCACAAGGTGGAATCCCCTTTAGAGCATCATTAGTGCCCCTCTTTGAAAAATCCCAAGAATGGAAAAGAAGGTAACAAGAAAGACCCAGGCACAGGCTAGCATTATTACCTGGTTATTGCTGTTTAGGCCCTTGGTGTGTCCCACTGGGGGATACAGTCTTGCCCCCAAGGGTCTGTCTGCTTGTTCCTGACCCCAAAAGGGTTACCAGTAAGTCCTGTCACCTTGTCTGGAGGGGAGGGGACTCTGAATGTCAAGAGAACCCTGCAAGCATTCCCCCAGCTCACCTAGAGCTGCTGGGTACTATCTGCTCAAATAGATAGTGTGGTGTCCCTGTGTTCTGGGTTTTGTGATGTTTCCCATAGTTTTTGGTGTGTCTTTTCAGTCTCCTCAGTGAACCTGTCCAGCAGCCAGGGGTGTAAAGACTGGCTTGTGAGAGGCTGGACTGTTCCTTGGTTTTCCTTACCATCCCTCTCTGCCCAGGATCTCCAGTGCACTGTGGTCAATTGCAGGCTTTGACACTAGACTTAATTTATGTGTCGGAATTAGGTGCTTTGCTGTGTGGCTCTGTCTCTCCCATTTTTTCTCTTCCTGAATCCTATAGGGGTGGTAGAGGTCAGAACAGGATTTTGGCCTCTGTGCCACCTATTGGGGTTTTCTCTGAGCCTTTTTGACATTTGAGTCAGGGATGGGGGGGTGCCCATGGTATGGTGTCTATGATGGGTCCTAGTCTTTGGGGTCATGTGGGCTGTCTTCAAGCTGCATGTAAGTCAGGTCCTCTCACTAGTTGCACTAGAGGCCAGAGTTGGTCACATCCGCACTGGGCATGTACTGTCAACTGATGGCTAGTTTGGGGGGATCAGAACTCTTCAGGGAGTATCAGTGGTTTGCATGGGTCTTGTCCCAAAATTGAATACAGCATTTTTGGGACCTGGTGTGAACTTGCACCTGATTTGTGGAGACAGTATTAGACTTGCATTCCTGTCCCATAGGAAGTCTTCCATATTCCTCATGTTGTTTGTTTTTTATTTTGTTTGTTTTCTTTTTTTAAGTGGCCTGTGTTCCGGTTAAATCTTGAATTAATCTGTTCCGGTTAAATCTTGAATTGAGAGAGAGATGGGTGTAGGCCCAGCATTCTTAGGCCTCATGACCACATATAGTCATATCACCTCATTTAACATGTGACCCCTGAGGAACAGATCCTCAAACGGCCTTAAGAGTAAAAATTAATTGGCTTATCTGGGCCAACTGTAGGGTCTTAAACACCCAAAAGGAAAGTATAACTAAAGATTAAAAGGGTCAATATAATGTTTTAAGAGTCCATATGCATAGCTAAAGTCTACATAACAAGAAACAATGCCAGACAGGAGATACCTTCCTTTGAGTTGTTGGCCAGGGTGGCCCAAGAGACTCCCAGACAGTAACCCAGCATAGAACTGGGAAAATGAACATCAGACCCCAATCTTATCTAAAGAAATATTGACAACTGATTGCTGCTAGATGAGGAACAGCTGATCTTCCTAAAGCAAGGATCTCTAGATAGGCTGACTAGATCCAGCAGACGGACAAGCACTGGGGAATGGCTGGGGGCGCCAACAGCACAGTGGACAGTAACAGGGATGACAGAGTATATGGGCTCCAGCGTGTGGGAGGGGGAGGCTATGGGAGGGTGCCATTTGGGAAGTGGGTATGTAGATGAATAAGATTGTTTGGGATGTTCTATATGAAATACACACAAAATCAACACATTTTTTAAATGAGTTATATTTGAGGAGGAAGCATAAAAACTTACTTCATGTTAATTAGTAGAGGTGATAAACATTACCATTGAAATCTACCTGATGACTTTATATCTATATTCAGGTGCCAAGGATCTGAGTGTAACCAACTGTGACTAGTAAGAATCAGATACTACATAGAGATTAGAGACGTGTGTGCAAATATCTAAGTGTTAGTAGGAAACAGTATATTTTAAAATGAAATGGAGATCTTTTTTAAAGGTTAAAAACTCATTCAATTTTATGCCCTTACAGGGTTTATAACTGAGTTCAATATTGTATAACTGTTAATTCAACAGTGAACCTAATAATTTACAGCCACTTTTGAAAGAGATGTATCTTTGCTCCAGAAATTGTTATTGGCTATGTTAAAACTGTAATGAAAAAAAAAAATTAATAAATGGGTGTAAATTTTTCAAAAACAACAAAAAAGGCACTTTAAAGGTAGCCCACCTCTAGCTTCCTGATCACTGCTTGGTTTGTGTTGTGAAGTCTGTGGCACAGAAGTATTAGGGGTGGGGGAGTGAGACTTAGCCTCTCCTTCCCGCATGTTTTTCTCCCACAAGGAGGTGCCCAACGCTCCTTTCCTCACATCAGGCTTGTGGCCCAGTCTGACCCTTGTTGCTGTCTGACGGTGACGCATCCTGTGGCTCACCTGGCTTGTCTCTCCCGTTGCTGGTGTGAAAAAATCCTCCTTAATAATCTTATAATGAGGAATTTATTTAGATTTGAACAGTGTAACTGGCCTTATCCATAACCGAGTCCCCAAAGTCAGATTTCCAAAGTTGGGAGAGAGCTGGAGCTGCAGACCAGGCTTGCTTCTCAGAACACACATTCTAGAATTATCTTGCAAGGCTTTCCTGCCCACCCACATTTAGCCAGTTCTTAGCTGTGTGCAACAGATTAATGGGGGTGGGGGGATTAAGACTGGACTAACATCTAAGCAGTTCTAGTTTGCTTCATTTGTAAGAAATGGGGGGAGTGTGTGCTCCCCCAAGAGTGACAGGAATGTCCAAAATCCTGAAAGCACCTGATGAGGGATGGAACTAGGATCAGCCTGAGGGGAGGAGCAATATAGGATCATTTCCAGCGGCCGGCTAGGCCTGGCTGGAGCAGAGATGGCATCATTGGTCCAAGATGTCACATGGAACAAAAGCTTTAGCGTTTTTATTTAGCTCCTAATCCTCACGCTGCAAGAGCTGAGGGCCATGTGAGCACGGCCACCCGGAAGGGGGTCTGGCAGGCTGGAGCACAGCTTCCTTTTCCTTTCTGGGCTGGAGGTACACACGACCCCCCCCTCCCCCCCAGGCTGTTGGCGAGTGAGGCAAAGTTACCGTGAGCCTGCTTTTCACCTACTAAGGTTTCAGAGGATTAATAATTTAGACTGTGCTTTGAAACAGAAACCCCCAGTTGGTTCTTCCTGCCCAGGGGTTCCTGTGTAGCCAGGTCTGGTTTTGATGTGTGTAATTGAAGACTTATAGAGAAAGCCTTCCTCCCGCGCCTCGCCTGTAGTCATTTGTTCTGCCAATGCCAGTTCCCAGCAGGCACATCAATATTGGCCGATCTCAGAGCTGGGATGCTGCTGGCTGGCATGAGGGCCCTTGGGACAACGCCGGGCCTCCAGGGAGGAGAAGCTCCCTGACGTATGGCCCCTCCGAGGGGTCCTGGTGTGAGCCGCTGAGCCACCGATCGCAGGACACTGAGCCTTACCTGTACCGGGAAGCTTTTTATAACTCACTGGCGGCAAGGAAGGGCTCCGTGCCCGACTTCACCTTCTACGACAGCAGACAGGCAGTGATGTCTGGCCGCGGCACCCTGCTGCCACAAGACTACTACAGCGAACCACACAGAGGCACCAGGGTACCCAAGGAGCCTCCTTTCTATCGGGACCCAGGAGCCAGCCGGCCAGTGCCCAGCTACGGAGTACTCGGCGGCCGAGTGCCGTGGGAGCAGGTACAAGGCCAGTTACCTGCCCTGCAGGACACCAGTCAGCTGTACCGGGAATCTGGGGGTAACATGATCCCACAGGGGCAGCGGACACACAGCAGGGCCTGCTCTCCTGGGCGGTATGGAAGGGAGCTGACTGATTCCAGGTTAGGGATTGAGGTTCCCACTCACTCCCCCATCTCCAGTCAGGTCTACAATGATGTCTGTGAAAGACCTGTCGATTCTGCCCTTGCCAGACAGGTGGCCCCAACGTGCCTGGTCATGGACCCCAGCTCCGCTACTCCTATGGAGAACGGCACAGGGGTGACCCCGGGTGCCCTGAATCGAGGCTATGGGCCTTCTCGGGAAAGCCTCGACTCAAAGATGGCTTATGAGAGTTATGAAGCCGACTTGTCTGCGTTCCAGGGACCTTGGGGCAAGAGGAGTGTGCCCTCTGAGTTTCTTGCCCTGCTGCGGGCAGAGGGCGTGGGGGAGGCCACCCTGGCTGCCCTCTTACAGCAAGGCTTCGACTCGCCCGCCGTCCTGGCCACCCTGGAGGAGGCTGACATTAAGTCTGTCGCACCCAACCTGGGTCAGGCCCGGGTCCTGAGCCGCCTGGCCAGCAGCTTCAGGACAGAGATGCAGTTTAGGAGACAGGACCGGACAGGTCCCACTCCCCGCCCGCGGTCCAGTAGCTTCAGCCACCGAGGGGAGCTGCTGCCTAGTGACTTGGCTTCACTTGGTACCACAGCCCTTCAGCCGGCACCGCCTGCCCGCACTGGAGATCCAGCTCGCCGTCCTTCCAGTGCACCTTCCCAGCACCTCCTGGAAACTGCAGCCACTTACTCTGCCCCTGGGGTCGGGGCCCAAACCCCCAACTTCCCCACCAATTCTGGATATAGTTCTCTTACCCCTTGCTCTCTGACAGGACGGATGGGCTCTTCCTACTCTCCACAGGCTGGGGTGGCCTTAACTAACCCAGGCCCCTCTGTCCCACTACACCCGAACCCCAGAACAGCCTACTCCACCTCGTACACAGTGCCCATGGAATTGCTGAAGAGGCAGCGCAGCATGACGGCCTCTCCGCTGCCCAGCCCCCAGCTCCTACGGAAGCCCGGAGCGCCCTTGGAGCCCTCTGTTCTACCACCAGTCAGCCAAAGCCTCCACATGCCTCACTCACCGTACCAGAAGGTGGCCCGGCGGACAGGGGCCCCCATCATTGTGTCAACCATGCTAACTCCAGAACCAAGTAACACACCTTCCCGCCTACCCTGGCTGGGAGGTCAAGGGGACTGGGGAGGGTACAGAGGTTTGAGGAGCGAATAGTTCGTCCCCACTGGTCATACACTGAGCAAAGATAATCTCTCAACCCCCCTCAATCCCTCTCCCTCCCTCCCTCCCTTCCCTACATATTCTTCCCCCCC